TTTACTGCCAAATTGTGGGCTTGTGGCTCAGTGAAAGCTCCTCCTGACTCCAGTGAGAGTTTTCACTAAGAGGTCTTCAGGGTTTGGTCTCTGAAAAACATACAGATAATATTGAATGTAGGTGAAAGATCCCTGCATATAGGACTGTCTCTTAAAAGAACATTGCTGAATACCAGTGCATAACTATATTTCACCTTGCTGATTGAGTAGAGTGTTACTTGCTTCTCAAAATTGTGCAACAATCCTTGTAATGTTTTAAGATTATACTCGAAAGATATCTTCTCGTAGGAAAAAATTAGAAATGCGTGTACTGATAGCTGCAATGCACACACAGAGGTATATGTGTGTATCTGTGTGTATATAAATAAATGTGCATATATACATATAGGATTGAATGTGTGATTTCATTTATAGTGTACCGTGTCTTAGTAGAGAGAGATCCCAAGATCTTTATATAGTTTTCCAAAAATCTCAGCTTAGTAAGAATCCCTTTTTAATGAGTTTTGCTGAGGATATGAGGCTTTTGTGGTTTTTCTGTCTGTGTGTTGGCTTTTGCATTTGGCTTGTAACAACCTTTGAGTCCCATCATTAATTTAAGTTTAATTTGATATTATGTTCAGGGCTCAAAGATATGAAGTTCTTGAAGTAATACTGAAAACTGGCTGCCAAGTACAGAAGAAAAATCTATTGATAGTCCATCTGAAAGAAAGAGTGAAGCTTGAGCTCAGTCTCTTAGGACAATGAGATATTATGAATGCCCCAACTGTGGGAAAAACTTCAATCAGTGCTTATATCTTACTAGACACTAGAGAATCCAACCACAAGATACACATTCACAGGAAACCAGGCTTCATTAGTTCCACAAATTCCTTTGATACATAGCATATGATTATTTAAAAAAATAAATATAAAATTTTATATATATATATATATAAAAAATATATAATGTATCCTTCCCCTCAAGGCTTCACACGCTTTACCCAGGTTTGACTGTACACAAGGGGGATTTGAGGATTTGGCACTAAACTGATGAAAAGCACACCATTCTAATATCCTGACTCAAAATCTTTCCAAGTGTGGGATGAGACACTGCTATAAGCATAAATCTGCCATGAACTTGTATCAAAGAATGGCATATATGGGATGAAATGAAGAAAATCACAGTTCAGATTTTCATAGGGAAAATATTCTTGAGCATGATGCTGTATACTTCCAAGCAGAGGAGTGGAAGTTACATTAGCGGGACTTTATACCCTGAACTAAGTGCTCAAATGATTTACAGGTAAAAAACATCCTTTAATTAAGATAAAGGAGGTGAATTGACAATTTTCAAATCAACAAAGACCCAGTACCTTGAATTATACACAGAACTATGGGAAAGTTTCAGTTAAAACTACAGCTAGTCCTGTTCCTGTGATTAATGTCATATTGCAAATTCTTCCTCTTATGCAGTTATTCCTACAGGTGATATTGGAAACTAATTAAGTTATTCTGGTTGGGGTAACTTACATAGTTTTCAAAAACACAATGGATTGATTTATTACTTTATAAAGCAAGCTCCAAGCACATTATCTGAAAAGATTAATGTTGTTTAGGGATACTGGGGAGAGAAATTGTCTGCTAGACTGTGGTGGGGGAGAATTTTAAAGGAAAATAACTGAAATTCAAATCTAGGAAAAAGGGTGTCAGAGTGCTTCTTCTCAGATTTCTAACATGCATTGGTTTCAGATACTGCTGGGTTGGATAAATGATGCAAAACACATTTGGTTAATTTAACTATCTGTAGGCTGAGTTTTGGAATCAAAGTGTAATAGGACCATTTTGTTTGGAATTTCACCTGATTAGTTATGAAGAAGGAAACATAAGAATTTATTTAAACTGAATTTTCAGGACGAAATTACACAGGAGCTTGATCACACAAATAATTTCAGTTCATATGCACGCATTTTCCCAGCCGTATTTTTATTTGCACAAACATCAGGCATTAAAAATATGTAAATTCCAGAAACTACAGAAGTTGTAGAAGACAAAACCTCTTAACACACTACGTGAAATTCTGAAATGGCATCTGAAAATGTCACTTCAGATCAATAAGCTGAAATTCAATATTAAGTGCATATTGTATTTTTTTAAAAGTGAATTTACAAAACTAAGATTGCAAGAGTATTTTGCTAATTTTAAAGTTCTGTAGTTTTCACAGAATAGCTAGCATTCTACCACACCTCTGCTTGATACTGTGATAATGTTTTATAATTAATACTTCATTCATTCATATCCAATAGTCTTAAATTATTATAACTCAGGTTAAATAAATAACTCGCTGTATCATCAACTTACACCATCTCAGAAGTGTATTGATGGTCAAACATGCATTATTGCTTAAAAGTACTTATATAGCAAGTATATGAGATTAATTATATTCATATTATATTCTGAGCATCTTTATAATTTAGAATAAATTTAAATACACTTTTTAAAAATATGCTTTCTCCCTCATGATATGCTACAACAAATTTGTCATTTGGTTTTATCATGGAACTAAAAAATGTCTTTTGTTGTATAAATTCACTGACTCATATGATGGTCATATTTTGTTTGGTCAGAGTGGGCCAGTAAGTATTATCTCTCCTAATTGTTAATATTTTATATCCTCTCCATACCTGATGTGAGAAATGAAGTTCTCCTTGCTGGTAGTCTCTGAGTCACAGATGATTAGCTAGAATTAAGAGTGGAAAGCAACTGTTATTAGATCCATGGTTTGATTTTGCCCTTCTGTATAGCTACAAAAAAAAGGCCCTGAACTAGGGCCTAGGTTATACAGTAAAGCACCATGCTTCTGTGATAAACTTCCTAAAGATTTGGCTTTTTAGGCAATTCTCAATAAAGTCTTTTTCCTCTTATCCCTCTCTAAATATGGGTAGAGATGGAAGAGAGAGAGACTTGTAATTTGTAAAAGATACATAATTTATTTTAAATTAGAGGAAAACAGCAACCCAGGTAATTTTCAGGTTGTTCTCTAAAACCAAGGCTGTGAGTGTTTCTATTGACTCCCATTCTCTGTTCAAAAAGGTCACTGACATAAGCTTGTCAGGCTGTGCTCTCAATGGAAGTATTCTCATTGGCCTTAGTGAGTAAACAGACAAGACCACTGAATTTAAGTTTTCCAAGTCCATGTTGTATTTCATCCTCTTTTTAATTCCAAGATGATGTCTAGCTGCATGTACGTACTTTTCTGATGTAATTTCATTTTTACAGACTTTGTGGCTTTCAGTTTAGGATATTTTTGTACAATAGCTTGGGGTTTTCCTATGTATTTATGTAAGAATAATATCTGAAGCCTTTATAATATTTAGGAAAGTAACTTTCCAAAGTCTTGAAGAATATCTATGGTTGAAACATATATTTTAAAATGTTTGAGATTCGTATCACAGAAAGATAACGTAAAATATCGAGAACTTGGGAATTGTGTATATCTTCACTGGACTGATTAAGTATGTGATAAATGCATGACAATTTTTTAAAAAATCATATAATTAGGATTTTTTTACAGTATAAATAAAATTAAGTGCAGTTTTACCTGTTGTGCTAAAGCTACTATAAGTAGAAAGGACAGGTTTTGTCACTTAGAAGAGGGAATGCTGTCTTGGGGGTGATATCACTCCAAAACCCTGTTTCTGTTACAATAGGTGCCTCATTTACAAGATCTTTGACTGTCTGATATTTTCAGTGGTTCAAAATGTATGATCCATTATATTTGTTCCTGAGAACTGTTATGAACACTGTTGACACTGATCAGATAAGAAACTGGGACAAGATATGCCCTGTAACTTGACCTCCCTGTAACATTAACATGTGGGTCCTTCTGTGTGAGGGAGTTTCTAAACAGGGGTTGTTGTCAACTGTATAGTTTCATTTGAAATTACTGAAAAATATTTCATCTCCCGTAAAAAAAAATTGAATACAGAAAAAGAAAAACACATTTTAAACACATTTTACTTTAAATTAGCTTTAAAAAAACCACCCAAAATTAAAACTGTTTAGTATTTAATTTCTCAAAACTTGGCAGTTTTTCTGCATTGCTCTGTCACAAGCCTTGTATTTTCATTCAGCTTCATTTTGATTACAGATTATTCATTTATAGATGGGCAGCTGTAGAAACTTGTTTCTTGCATATGCAAATCAATCATGGTAATGTTTACAGTAAGGAGGTGTTGTGGCACTGAAAAAGGGCTTGTGGCAACATGTTCTTGATTTCAATTGTATCTTCTACAAATGGAATTGGCTTCCTCACTTCACCTTCAGTTGAACCTTTTCCCTTGCCTTCCCTTTCCTTGCCTTCTCTTTCCTTCCCTTTCCTTTCCTTTCCTTTCCTTGCCTTGCCTTGCCTTCCCTTGCCTTCCCTTTCCTTTCCCCTTTCCTTTCCTTTCCTTTCCTTTCCTTTCCTTTCCTTTCCTTTCCTTTCCTTTCCTTTCCTTTCCTTTCCTTTCCTTTCCTTTCCTTTCCTTTCCTTTCCTTTCCTTCTTTCCTTTCCTTTCCTTTCCTTTCCTTTCCTTTCCTTTCCTTTCCTTTCCTTTCCTCTCCTTTCCTTTCCTCTCCTCTCCTCTCCTCTCCTCTCCGCTCTACTCCGCCCTTCGCAGTGTCAATCAATATCCTGTTGGAGAACTCACACATATATTTATCTGTGAACTCCTTGGCATACCTTCATTAGTAAAAGGACTGAAATCAGCTGATGTCTTGTTTTTACAGCATTAAAACAACTATCCCTGATCCTAGCTCATTTTGCCCAGCAGGGATGGTCATGCTCATTTCTCTTTCCCCTTCTCCTTCCCCTTCCCCTTCCCCTTTCCCTTCCCCTTCTCCTTTCCCTTCCCTTCCCCTTCCCCTTCCCTTTCCCCTTCCTCTTTCCTCCTCCTTTCCTCCTCCTTTCCTCCTTTCCCTTTACCTCCTGGTCTACTGGTCTAACCACTGTTCACTAAGCGAGAAATTCCATTAATTTACAGATCATGATTTTGGAAGGAACAGGCAGAATGAGTATCAATTCAAGCAGCAATCTACTTCACCAGCAGCCTTCCTGGACAGATGGATATTCCACAGGCAATGGTAGGAGAAATTCAATGGCTCTGAGTCATGTTTTTTGGGGGGAGGCAGGTAGAAAGGGGCTACTACACCAATGCACAAGTATAATTTTTCAGTAATATTAATTTATTGGAGTTTCACTTCTGGTACGAAAAATTTCCATTTGTTACTTTATTTGTAGAAAGCTTGAACCCATAATACTATGTCCCTGAAAGTGACCAGTTTATAGTTATTTTCCTGACTGGTTATTTTTCTGAGAAGAAATTTGATGATGTTGAAAGTGGCAGAAGTTCCCTCTCCACAGTTCAGAATTCTTTGTCTCTTATATTTACCAGTCATGCCTTCTCTGAACCAACATTATTCTTCAATGTTAAGCATACCTCTAGCTTTCCAGGGGAATAGTCTTTTTACTCCTTTACTGTAATTGTTTTTTCAGCTCTAATTACTGGGTAGCTTTCTGGCACAAAATAGCTTGTGGTATGAGAACTTTCTATTTTTCTTATTTTTTTCCTGATTTTATGGCTGTAGATACAAAAAATGTGTTCATATATATTTTCACTCAGTATAAAAATATATAGATGTATAGCTAGGTAGGTAAGTAGATATATATGTGCATATATATATATATATATAGAGAGAGAGAGAGAGAGAGGTAACATTTGATACAAATTTTTAATTCTTTTGATCTCCTAGTCAATGGGTAAACCTTAAAATCTAAGTGGACAAACATATACTGCAGTTGTCTTTCCAATCCATGAAGCTCTGTACTTTTTTAATGTGTAATTGCTACATACACAACAATACGTAAGTGTACACTTGATAAATATGTTGACCTGTTTGTAACAGATTAATGAGGAAAAAAGTCCTGGGTGAGTTTTACTTTGCACAGGATTTTGTGAAGCGTGGCTATTTTCATGGTTCCAGTGTGAAACTCCTTAGCATTCATTTATGACAGACAGGAACCCAAAGGCACAGACTAGCCTCTACAATCACTCACCACTTCACTTCCTTTTACCTAGCTACTCTTTCCTTTAACTGAAGGCTCTGATTTTATATTAGTAGTCTAGTGGCCTCTGAAATTCCTCTTCCCTTCTGGAGTGATAGGGATACATATCAACCTCCTTTTCAGGGAATATTTGACAACTCCATCAACCCCTTACTGATGTAATATGTTCTTGATTATTTCAACACTCATTCCTCAAATCCTTCAACAGAAGAATGAGAAATAGTCATGCAAACTCCCTAAGTTACTGATGCAGACCTTGCTGGCCAACATGGCTAAATAAACCCAAGTAATGATGGGGCTTTTTGTGTTTACCTGGAAATGAGCATTGAACATTGTATCTCAACTGAAGAGATCTGAGGTCTAGTGGAACCTAAGAGGAGGTGATTTCCTAAAATGTACCAATTCCGTTACTTGTGATCCTCTGTCAATATCCACTGCTGTCAGTATTTCTAAGAGTTGTGTGGGTAATCTTTTTACTGGGGAGACTGGGAATGGACTAGTGCCACATCCTGAAGTAGTCATTAGCCCCTATTGTAGTGCTAGGCCACAGTAGTTTTTCCTTCTCCCATAATTCATCCACCTCTGCCATCTCTCATTTCTTCATACTTAAATCTTTTATGCACTTTTGTGCATTTTATCACATCATCTGTGCTTGGCATACTACATTGTCCTCCTTTCCCAAGGAACAAATTGCACAGAACTTCTTTCGACAGGCTGCCTGTGAAGGCAGACCGAAGTAGTCCTGCCATTACTCTTATATAATTATCCTGTCCTGACATAAAATTTATTTCATTTGCACACATAAATTATTGTTGTGTAATGACATACAACTGAAAGCAATTTTAAAGATTTCCAAGAAAATACCTCCTAACAAGAAAAATAGGCAGCTTCCATAACAAAACTTATTACAACTGCATTAAAACATTGCCTTACCTCACTACAGAAATAATGTGCATTCATCAGAATGTGAGCTCTGTTTTGAATTTGTGGGCCATACTGATAGGCTTTTACTGTGGAGCAATATGAGAATGCTATCGCTTTACCATTCTGTGATTGAATCCCATCATTCATATTCAGTTCCTGTTAAACCCTTATTAAAAGAAAAATTCCACATCATATTATGAGAATTTTGCAAGGCTTTTACATCATTTTCTGATGCACTAAAACTATTTTCCCAGACAAGGAACAACATACCTTTTCATTAGCATTTCTGTAATGTATCTTCCATAAAAGAATTTTGGTGTATTTAGCCAACATAAATAATTTAATTCCTTCATACACAATCTGCCAAGAAAGGTGTAATAATTCCCAATTTTTAACTGGAAGAAAGCAAAACCAACAACAAAGCAAAACAAACACTCCCTACCCCCAAAAACCCTCTTCTCCAGCAACAGCTACTGAACTAGTGGTAAAGACTTAGAATAAAGAAAATATTAGATTTATATACTTGCAGGGCATGCAATTTAGTTATAGACCTTTCTTGTCATTGACAGTCTTGTGTTGCTAACAGATACAGCAAATACCTATTCTCTTTTCTAGTGTCCAGCAACTTCTATGGAACCCAATGGCATGAGATACATCCACAATACTGGACTAAATTTCAAGTTTGGGAGTGGCTGCAGCATCTCCTTGATACCAACCAACTGGATGCTAATTGCATACCCTTCCAGGAGTTCGATATCAATGGGGAGCATCTGTGCAGTATGAGCCTGCAGGAATTCACTCAGGCAGCTGGGACAGCAGGGCAGCTGCTTTACAGCAACCTTCAGCACCTAAAATGGAATGGTAAATAGATATTAGCTAGAGATGCATGCACAGTGTCTGAATTCTGAGATCTTCGGAAGTCATTTACATTCCCCAGAGACCTACCTGTCAGATCTCATTTGCAAGGCTTGCTATGCTGCTTATACCTCACACATTGCATTTATAAATTGCTTAAATTTGAAATAAGGCAGAAATCTGAAGGACCAAGTGCAAGGGTATGTTCTACAGTACAGAAATAGCCCTCTGGCTCAGCTGTAGCAGTTGTTGCTTGGAGCTTTGATTCTTCATGCTTGTTATACGTCCTATTTGCCATATGTTTTCTTGCAGGCCAGTGTGGAAGTGACATGTACCAATCTCATAATGTCATTGTGAAGACAGAGCAAACAGGTGAGGTTGGGTGACTTGTCTTCTGATGGTGACTTAAAGGGGAAACTGTCCATCCAAGAAAGATATTAAAATCAATGGGCTGAGGCCAATTGCATGAGATTCAACAAGGCCAAGTTCCGAGTCCTGCACTTGGGTCACAGCAACCCCATGCACCTATACAGGCTTGGGGAAGAATGGCTGGAAAAGCTGCCCAGAGGAAAAGGACCTGGGGGTGTTGATTGTCAGCCAGATGAATATGAGCCAGCAGTGTGCCAAGGTGGACAGAAATGCCAACAGTATCCTGGCTTGTATCAGAAATACAGGACTAGGGAGGGGGACTAGGGGTTTTGGGCCGTCTTCTACAAGAAAGACTTTGAGGTGCTGGAGTGAGTCCAGAGAAGGGCAATGAAGCTGGTGAACAGTCAGGAGAAAAAGTCTTACGAGGACCATCTGAATGAACTGCAGTTGTTTAGTCTGGAGAAAAGGAGGCTAAGGGGAGACCTTATTGAACTATCTGAAAGGAGATTGTAGTGAGGTGGAGGTTGGTCTCTTCTCACAAATAACAAGCGATAGGTCAAGAGGAAATGGGCTCAAGTTGTGCCAGGGGAGATTTAGATCAGATATTAGAAAATTTTTCTTCATGGAAAGGGTAATTAAACACTGGAATAGGCTACACAGGGAGGCGCATCCCTGGAGGTGGTAAAGAGATGTATAGCCGTGGTGCTTAGGAGAATGGTTTAAGCAATGGACTTGGTAGAGTTAGGTTAATGGTTGGTAGAGGTAGGTTATGGTTGGATTCGATGATCTTAAAGGTCTTTTCTAACCAGAATGATTCTGTGATTCTATGGCATTAAATAAAATGGAAAATGTATTACACAGAATAAAAGAAGTAGTATCAGTCGATATGCACTTTTTGTTGTTTTGGGTAGCACCACTGTATCTTGTTTGCATGTGGCCACTTTTCCTGGGAGTCCTTTGCAGTGTCAGCAAACTATAATGATGCTCAGAGTTTAAATAGCTTGCAGTGCTCAGTGAATGCAGCTTTGTAAAGGAATTCATTCTATGTTTCATGCAGCAGATTTCAAAACTGTTTGCATGGTATTCTCAGTTTAAAAAAAGAAATGGAAAAAGACATAAAGTGCTGTTCATGTTTTGAAACATGAGTAAATTTCCATACAAAATAACTGAGAGAAAAAAAAAAAAATACATTTCAGTTTACTTACATGTTGCAATGAAGCTGAAATTCAGGTAGTATTTTGGTTTGATCAAACCTCCATTTTTCCTGTGGCAGTCTTTTTTTTCCAATGTAGTCTAGATCCTTTTCCTCCAAGGACTGTTTCACCAAGAAAAGAACTTCAGCTCAACTCAGTCCTCCTCTTCACCATGATTATTTTCCTGTTTCTGTAGCCAGAGCACCTCTGTCCATTTCCAAACCCTCTCTGTTCCACTAGTCCCAGCTTCTTTGTGTGTCAGTGTGTTCATGAACTGCATTTTATTACCTCCTGGCAGAACAAATGCAGACATAGAGAGTGTGATGTCTCTGACAATTACTGCCAGCCTGTTTATTTATCCAGCCTCTCCAGCCAGGGACAGAAATTACTCACTGTCCCTACAGTGGGCAAGCACTGCAATCTGCAATCCATTTTTTGGCCGTGCCTGTGCAGTACAAGTGATAAACATGCAGCAGCCTTGATGCTTATCATATATGAAACTACATCTTTAAGTCTTGATTATGAGATCTTGATATAATGTTAGCTTATCTTCCTACTAGATATACACAGTTAAGCTCAAAGTACCTCAGCTGCACATTCTGGAAAGATCAAAGCCCAGGTCTAACTGATGGTTCACGTAGCTGTGTTGCACTGGCAGTGTAAACAACAGACAGTGATGGTGGGTTTAGTTTTGGTATGAGGAGGAGCAGGTGACACAAATTGGGTCTGCTGGGGAAGAGATTCCATGTGAGCCAGTAGGGGCAGGGCTGGTGACTTAAAGGCAAAGTTAGCTTCATTCTTGTAGACCATCTCAGTTGCTAAGACATGGGTACCAAAAAAGGCCAAAACAGGAAGATGAGCTGTGTCCCCATGTTCACAGAATAGTAGAATGGTTTGAGTTGGAGGGGATCTTAAAGATCATCTAGTTTCAAATCCCCTGCATGGACAGGGACATCTTCCACTAGTTCAGATTGCTCAAAGCACCATCCAACCTGGCCTTGGACTCTTCCAAAGATGGAGCATCCACAACTTCCCTGGGCATCCTGTTCCCTTATTTCACCACCCTAACAGTAAAGAAATTCTTCCTAATACCTAATCTAAATCTATCCTCTTTCAATATGAAACCATTACCCCTTGTCTTACCACTACAAGGGCATGTAGAAAGTCTCTCCCCACCTTTTCTGTAGGCCCCCTTCAGGTAATGGAAGGCTTCTATAAGGTCTCCCTGGATCCTTCTCTTCTCCAGGTGGAAATCTCTCAGCCTGTCTTCATGGGAGAGGCCCTTCAGCCCTGCCCTGCTTTGGTTTGTTTTTAGAGGCAACATTAGACAGATCAGGTGTCCAAGCAAGAAAAGGGTGTGTGCTATTATAGGAACACAAGCTCTGGGTGCCCAAACATGCAGCTATTACTTAACATGCCTGCTAAATTCCTATGTCATAATTGGTAACTCAGCCAAACATGATTATTTAGCTGTAACTATTTTTTTTGTTGGTTGGTTTTGTTTGGGGTTTTGTTTGTTTGCTTGGTTTTTTTAAATTTTATTTATACAAACATAAAAAAACCAACAACCTAGATTCTAACTTTACATCTCATCTTTTCTCGCTTGGATTCAAAAGCAAAAGATATTTTTAAGGTTTCTTACTTAAAAAATGCGCTGTGTAGAAAGTAATCTCTTGATCAATATACAGGTCATAAAAACAATAGTTCTGCTTATATTGATTTATCTGACTACAAGGTTCCTAAAAATGATTCCTCTTTAATAATGAAGGTGGATTTTAGGTTACAAGTGGGGACTTGACGTGCCTGGAATGAAACGGCCCTTCATCTAGAATTAGGCTTTCATGTTTTTTGCGATGTGCTTACGCATGTAGTTCTGCTTCAGAGGGGACTTTTGAATTCTACCATTTTAGAAACACATGCTCATTATAAGCAAACACTTTCATCTCTGTGGCACCAAAGCACTGTCATACTCACTAGGGCTGCAAATTCAGGACTTGATTGAATAGAATTAGAATTGATCTGGCATGGGAAACCTCCTTCAAGGAGGGATATTACTCAGGAAAAGGAAGAGCCTACTACATTATTTCTAAAAGTCAGTGCTTTGTATGTAAGTGTATTTGCCTGAGTATGAAAATCCCATCTATAATGTGAATGAAAAGAAATAATTTTGTGCATAGCCACTTAACTTCATGCTTCCTTTCCACAGTTTTCCTTTTCTTCATATTTCTTATTCTCTCTGTACTCAATATTCACATGTGTTAAAAATGTTCTTTTAGAGATTTAATTTTATTTTGTTGTTTTGCTTAATTTTGTTTTTTTTGTTATTACCTTCAGATCCATCATTAATGTTGTCCTGGAAAGAGGAGAATTACCTGTATGACAGTGGCTATGGTACCACAGTAGGTAACTAGCATCACAATACTTCATGCATTTCTGAGATGGTTTTGTTGTTGTCTGAGGCTATTGCTTTAAATGCGTTCTTTTGAATTCCCAGAGCTGTTGGACAGTAAAACTTTCTGTCGTGCTCAAATTTCCATGACAACACCTAGTCACCAGCCTCCTGGTAAGGAATTTGTCATTATATTGTTGTTGATTGTCACTTGTCCCAGAGCTACTGACATAATGCTCTCTCTCTCTGGTCTCCTATTTTGGGATTGTAGGATCGAATTTGAGCCAGAACCAAGCAATACTGATTCTGACAGCTCTTTTAACTATTATTATTACAATAGCTTGCTTTAAAAGAAATTAAACGGCTATTCTCACTGTCAAGACAAAAAAGATCAAATAATCTCGAACTCCATGTATCTTTTGAAGTTCAAAGCAGAAGATGGGAGAGAGATGGGACATTCCAACTCCATCACACTTTTTTGTGTTGTAGCTAGGTATGGGCAAACAAGTGTTGTGTTCCTTCCCAAAAGTATCTGTGTTTTCCTAGGGAGCCAGTGATTAATGAGGAAGAGGTTGATAGGTTTTGGGCTAGGTTTGGGGGCAGCCTAGGAGAGCTATGGGGCAGAAACAAAAGCTTTCAGCCCAACTACACTGGCAGAAGGGCTTCCTACCTATCTCAGCTGACAGTACAGCAGGCACCTGCTGCCTGCTAAAGGGCAGGAGAAAGAGCAAACTTGTCTACCATAGTGCCTGGTAAAAGTGCAGCCTGGGTTCATGTGTCAGGGCACGCTGGGGGCCATGTCCTGGAGGCAGACACCAGTGGTACAGGTGAGAGAAAAAGGCAGTGGAAAAAGAGGAGAGCAGAGATGGCTTGTAAGCAAACAGACCAGAGAGAGAAAGGAGTGGAAGTCATGGGAGGATAAGAAAGGAAAGCACACTGTAGGAAAGTCTGTAGGCTACGTCTGCACTAGAGGCAACCGTGTGCCTCTGCATGCAGATGGCAGTTACAGCCTCTGTGTCTGCCAATTTGCTGAATCTCCCAGCCTTCAAGCAGAGCCAGACGTGCCAAATGACATACAGTTTAAACTACTGTACTCAGCAATTTGGAAAAAAATAAAATAAAAAAATATAAAACCTAACCAGAAGTGGAAAACCACCAAACCTTAAAAACTCCAACCAAACACTGTTTGCTTTCTCTGCCACCTCCACCCAATCTCACAAGATGGCTACCAGGATTTCATAGCTCTCTGACAGGACTGTGGACCTGTCAAAATTTTGGCACAGTGTGTTTATCTGCTGGTTGCTTAAGCATAAAGCTAGGGTGGCATGCCAAGGGCACAGCCTACTGTAAAATCTATATTTGTATATTCTGTAAAAAAATGGCTCATTCCTGAATCATATGCAAATACTGTGCAATCTTTTGTCAAAAGTTTTGCAAGAGAGCTTTACTGAAACCACATCATAAGTCTTTTCATCTGTTGGGCTGCAGCATCTTAACATGGCATGCTTGAAACTGGCCTCCATGTAGAAACAGTGGCAGAGTGGGAGGATATTTACACAGCTGACATCCAGAATAAATCACCAGCTAGGCAGAAAGCAACTGAACTTCCAAGAATAAATCTCCAGCTAAGTGGAGTATAACAAACATTTGCAAGTGAATTGTGGGATTTTAAAATGAGAAGGATTTATATAAGAGAGCAAATAAAGGATGGGGTCCTGCTGTCCTCAACTGGAGTTCCCACACATTTTTAATAACATCAAGGGAATCATAATCTGAGGAAAGTCAAATAAAAGTCAAATAAGCCTAATTTTACTTTTCCACTCCAACTTGAGTGAGGTTCAGGCAAGGTCCTGCTCTTTGAGAGTGGGAAGGCAAAACGTCTCAGAGCCTGTTTGAGGCTTGGAGGTCAAGGTCAAAAATTGCATTAAGATTCCGAAAAGAAGAGGTTAGGCTCATCATCACTGACCTGTCCAGTTTATGTTTCCAGTTATACATGAATAAAGTAAGTATGTGAACAACTTTGCATCTACCTTTTCACATTGCAGTTGCTTGTGCAAATCCAACAAGTTTCTATGCAAATTAATATTTCCTGTGAGTCATTTTCCCATGCAAATGTCTGGTTTCCATGAAAAGTAGGATAATAATGCATTCATAGAAGCTGGGAAAATGTGTGTGGGACCTTAAGCTTTTCTTTATGCAGTTTAGGCACAAAGTATGTTGAAAAGCAAACACAGAAGGGGCTCCTTCTCAGGACTATCCCACAGATTTTGTGAGACTTAGAGAAATCAGACAAAAGATGATCAGATTTTCTCATTAATATCAAGAACAAAGCCAGGATGCAATGGCTTGAGGGAAGGAGGGCTGAACATGCAGACTGTGAGGTAGGTTATAGTAATGAACGTATGGAACTTTTCTTTTTCTTCATTTCTGATTAAATGCTTGTACGAGACACCCTATATTTCATTACAGGTGATGAAGTACCATTAATGAGAAAAGGCTTGTTTCTATGGCTCTGAACCACAGAACCATATATGCATGTCCAGCTGCCAAAAAATCATCAGCCCTGTTCCCCCACTTTACCCCAGACAACACTTTGCCAGTTCATTATATTTTAGTCAGATAGATGTTCTGTGCATTGTTACTAGTGCATACGTTGCGCATTAGACCATTTCTTCAGAAAAATGTGCCCCCAAAGATACATACCAGTGCAAAGATATAATGGAAAACTTCAAGATTCCTTTCATAAAAGTGATTGTCTTATTTTTCTTTCTCTCTTATATAACATGAGGTGGGATATTTGTTAAACAAATTTAGGTTTCAAAAGCCAAATATTTACCTCTGAATTCATTCTTTATTTATCAATGTCCTCTTTGTGAAATGTGCTGATTAACATATAGTACAGAAAACAAAACTTCCTCCTCACTTAGATTACCTTCTGAAAAGTGATTATCTTTAAATAAGATACTAGTTCTTTTTGTGGTTTTGTTTCTTTCAGCATACTAGTCAAAGGAAAGCATTTAATCAAATATACAAATAGGCTTCATTTTCCTTCTCTGCAGATTCTTCAGGTGTGAAAAAATCACAAGATCATACCCCGAAGTCCCACACCAAAAAGCACAGTAAGTCAAAATCATGTTTATAATGGTTGGTTGACAGATGGAAAAGAAAGACATTAAAAGCCAGTCCCCTTTGGGAGGGAAAAGGAAACAATTTGAAAGCAAATCTGGCTAGATCATAAATGTGATTGAATCCTCCAAGGATCTGACTGTACTATTTGCTCATATTATTTTTGACTCAGTATTTTTAAACTTTTCAAATAGTTTTTATAAATGAGGGCTTGTGGTTACTATAGTTGTGATTTCTGGACATAGTTCCATTAATGTACTTTAATGATACTTTCATGCTGAAAATATCTTGTGAATGTCTATTGCATTCTGTGCTATTCCCTGTTTATAAGAGAAAACATTGCTATTGATCTTCTACTGCGTTTTGTAGTATTTGTTTTCATCATGTATCAATATGATCTGTGGATTATATGTCTCTCTTGACTTTCTCTTCTTACCCTGCTCTGTGACTTTGCTCACCGCTCTTGGATTTTATATCTCCATACAGAGATTTTGTTTCTTTTTTTTTGTGTGTGTGTGTATGTCAGGGTTACTAATTGCTAATTTAAGGAATAGATAGGTCACTTGGTTTGTTCACCTTAGAGAAGGGAAGGCTGAGGGGTGAGCTCATCACAATCTACACTTTCCTCCAGGAGGGCAGTAGAAGAGAAGGTGCTGATCTTCTCTCTCTGTTGACCAGCTACAGGACACAATTAAATGAGGCTGCATCAGGAAAAATTCTGATTGGAAGGGTGGTCAGTTAACTGTAACAGGTTCCCCAGGGAAGTAGTCAGAGCACCAAGCCTGTCAGAGTTCAAGGAGCATATGGACGAAGCTCTTAGTCATATGGTTTAGTTTTATGTAGTCCTGTGAGGAGCAGGAAGTTGGATTAAGTGATCTTTAGGGGTCTTTTCCAACTTTAGATCACCCATGAACTTAGTCACACCCTTGGCATATAGAAAATGTCCCTTTCTGTGCTTGGATAGTGCCCTATGTTTCCAGTTTCTTCAGCACTGCTCTGTATCATGAGCTATTATGTTACTGATGTCCAGATAGACTAGGTACATCACATTTTGCTTGTTCTAGAAAACAATTCTAATAGCAAAGAAAAATATTGCATAAGTTGACTGAAATCTACTGCTACTCAAGGTGCACTTTATACCATTTTCTATTCACTACCTTGTTTCCATCTTAATTTAGTCTAAACCATTTAATGCTTTTGAAGTCACACCGAAGAGCTTTCTGGTCCACATTGTCACTGTGTTAGTAGTTATTCTTTCACTAGCTACTACATCTGACTTGTTGGATCTATTTAATCTCTTTTGTCTTTTTGACCTGGGCATTCTGGTGCCATCTCTACAGTAACTGTGGGATGGGTTTCTGCTTAAACTGCCTATTGAACTTAGAGATCTGATTTTGTCTTTTTTTGATATCAAGGTAAAACTTTTTATACCCTTTTCACATACTGCTTTGGCTGACCCATTTTGTCATTATTCCTCTATCCACTCTATACTTTCTTACTTCTTTAAGTCTACCTAAGAGATCTTGGATCAAATACTTACTGATGTGGAATGGCATTTCACCTCCTTTGTCTTCTGTCTTTAAAATGCATGGACATTCAGTGCCTGCTTCAAAATTATCTTGTCTGTTTCTCATACTACACAGTATCATGTTACATGCCATGTGATAGAAGAATATCAGGAAAAATGGGCAAATGAGATGAGGAGAAGACTTAAACAAGTTGTCTTCAGGGCAAAGTGCCAAAGGAAGGAGGAAGCAGTGACTGGTTTGGACTCCACTCCCCCTAGTTGCTTGGACTTGCCATGGGGCTCAGACTGCCAAAGACTGGCAGTCACCTATAGCCATATTGCAGTCTTTCTGCATTTTTTGCCTATGTCTTTAAGGTTGGAGTCCTGTGCTCCAGGAACTATGGCCTGTCCTTTCTGACTAAAAACAAGCCATGTGTATTTGTCACACTGTAAAAATATGATGTAAAAATGGCAGTAATAGCCAATAAATCTCTTTAGACACACCTTCTGCCTGTCCCCTTTCCTCTTTCAGACCCTCGAGGAACTCATCTTTGGGAATTTATTCGAGATATTCTTCTCAATCCTGAGAAAAACCCAGGATTGATCAAGTGGGAAGACCGGTCAGAAGGTGTCTTCAGGTTTTTAAAATCTGAAGCTGTGGCTCAGCTCTGGGGAAAGAAGAAAAACAACAGCAGCATGACTTATGAGAAACTCAGCCGGGCTATGAGGTGAGCTGAGATGTTGCTATGGAAGACAAGTCAAGAGGCTATCTGAATGGAGAGTCTGGTTGTCTTTTAAAAATGAGTTGCCACCAACACTCTTTGACAACTGAGTGTCTCCTACTAATTTTGATATTGTAACATTATATGTTTCTTTGTCTTTTCTTTCCCCTTCTGTTTCTATATACTACAGTATACAGAGTACATATGACATGCGTATGTGTTATATGCATAATATATATTCTGTTGCTGTCCACCCAAGCAACCAGTGTATGAAGGAAACATGGTTGCAGCAAGCTGAAAAAGTTCACATGCCACTGAACTGGGAAGGCTTAAATGGCCCGGTAATATCCTAAGACCTTGTTATTTCCAGCATTGTTCAGAAACTCAACATGACTCCCCATTATCTTAAAACAGGTTTACAAATTCTATGTGAGGATTTTCTTTTCTCTTGTCTTTCATATTATGAGCAGTTTTCCATAATCTATTAAAGTTCAAAATAGATTTTAAAATGAAAGCTGAGATTCTTTCCTGGTCTGATTTCAGATCCTGGGTTACCAGGAAAATATCCCTGTGAAATCTCATAGGAGTGTGTGATAAATATGGCAACATGCTATTACTTGAAATATGGTGAAATCCAAACTCTGAAGGTAATTCATATAAAGTATAAAGAAGACATCAATTTTTTCTTCTCTGTCTTTCAGTTACAATAATCTTAGGTAATTTTTATATATCAACAGAAATTAAAAACTTTAAAGGTAGCTGAGGGATTGCCTAGTTGACAGTAGTCTTTTAAGACAATAAGTGATTTTTTTCTTAAATATTTTTCTATATTTTAATTTTAACAGATACTATTATAAAAGAGAAATCCTGGAGCGAGTGGACGGTCGGAGATTAGTGTATAAATTTGGAAAGAATGCTCGTGGCTGGAGAGAAAATGAAAATTAAATGTGTCAAGAAACAACACTGAACACTTGGGTGTAAATATTCAAAGACTATTTTCTTATATTTATGTAACAAACTGGGGTGAAAAAACATTTCTGTTTCTGTCGGGAAGAAGGAACATTATCATTATGGGTGTTAAAATGGTTTTATTTGAAGTATGTCCTGTATGGGGGAAAAAAACGTGCACAGTATTCTGTGCTATAAGATAACATTATAGAATTTTTAATCATTTTTCCCTTCTTGTGAAGTTTTTTTCCTTTTTTTTTTTTTTTTTTTTTTTTTAAATCTTGGAGGCATAATATGACAATGCTGTGAGTCATGCAGAGAAAGAGAAGGAGTGAGATATTAGGGCATTTAGGGAATAATCCACTTCAGAAGGCAACTATAAGTGAAGAAAATAGTTAAGCATCTCTGAGCCAAATAGTATTTTTCCACAATTAACTGATTTATTGTTCTCATTGGCTAATAATACCACTTGTTCTTCTGATTTCTGAGTGTTTTAACACTTTGCTGGCTTCCAGTTGCTTTTGTTGGGTTGGACAGTGGATTTCTCTTCAGTTAGCTTATCCCAACCACAGAGAGCAGTGGTGCTGCAAGGTGGCTGTCAGCATTTATTGGGAGAACCCATATTACCTTCACCACTGGGACATTCTTTTGTAGGCAGTGGTATCGAGTATCCTCCCTAATCTCCAAAGAGCATTCAACTCATCCTGGGAAAAGGGCTATCGGTTTCTAAACAACATCTCTGAAGTGAACTGCAGGAAGAGTGTCAATCTCTGTGATCAAAAGCTATTGAAGGAAAAAGATTATTTTCTGACAGGGCAAACTTATTAAAAGGCACTGGTTTCCCAGAAGAAGTTTTAATACTCCTCCGACCCTCTTATATTCTTAATTAAAGTGTTCAAATATATGCCCATAAAAAGCGGTGAGGAGGTGGGTAAGCAGAACATGGTATGAGGGAACAGTGTCCTCAGTTCCTCCAAGTTGTATGTGTCAACTGTACTTGGGATTCTTAGTTGGAGAAAACAGCCAAGATAAAGACACTGAGATTCTGGGGACATTCAGATCATGGTCACGGTTTTGGGCTCACCTCTATCAGTACTATGCAGAGACTGAATCATCATCGGCAGCATTTTCTTTCTCCAAGTCACAAATGCTTCCTGTTGGCACTAAGCCACTTGCAGAACATGCTGAAATAAAATCTAGAGGAGGCACCACTTCAGCAGGTCACTGAGTACATGAGATGTGGGAGTTGAGAAAGAGGGTTTTTCTGTGATGTTAACAGAGGTGAAACCGAGGTGGATTCCAACTCATTTTTTCAGGGAGGGGGAATTTGGAAAACAATAATAGGGCCTGAGAAGTCTGGGGAAAGAAAAAAGAAAAATAAAATCAAGAATATTAAATCCACCAAATAACCATTTCCTGAGGAATCCCCTGGATTTGAATAAGTATTAGCTTGAAGTGCAGCAAGGTGGAGCTGAAAATTATAGGACACATAATTTTTTTATTTTTTTTTTTAAGGAAATAGAGGTGAAACTAAGATACAATAGAAGTATCAATATAAAGGGCATTAAATATTACTAGCAGCAGTGTGTAGGTAAACATACGAGCCTAACTTTTAATCGAAATATACAGGGCATGTCAAACACCACCACCACCTCTTCCACTTTGTATGCCAGAGCTGTTACCACCCATACATGACAAATTTTATTTTTCATAACCTAGGTGGTTCATCTTATTTACAAAACAAATGATAAGCCTCTGTACTTCAAAGCATTTTTTCTCCCATCTATCTTTTTTTTTTTTTTTTTTTTTTTTTTTTTTTTTTTTTTTTTTTTTTTTTTTTTGACTATGCTAACCTTGCTTTTGTGCAACTCAATAATTTCCTTTTTGTAGCCTGATTAGCTACATTCCACTTCCTTTGCCATCACTTTGTAGTTCATATAGCAAAAAAACAGGCCACCAGACGAGGAGAGCACCTTAACCTTTAGCTAGTTTCAAAAGACTTTCATTCTCCTGGTACCACAGTTATTTGCAGTCCTCTTCACCCTCCTTGCCCACCCCCCATTCCCTCCCTCCTCACACTCAATCCAAATCTTGGGTGAAAATCTGGTATCAGTGGTACCATCACACATCCCGGGTACTGTTGCACCTTATCTCAGGTTAACATACATGTCACAGAAACTTATTGTAATATCTTAAGTTACTTTATAGCAGATTTCTCACAAAACTTCTTGGGAGATGCAACAAACTTGTAATATACATTTGTCACCACTTGGTTACCAAGCAGCACCTAAACCTGCTTTTAAAGATTTTGAAAGACAAGGATTCATTTAGAAGCATATTGTATAAATCTAGAGAGTGATTTATTCTGAGGTACAGTATAAATGCGAGTCTTCCACTGTCATATCTTTCATCATATGTAAACATTTCCATTCCCACCCTACAAAACTTTTAAGACTAGGTACTTGCCATTTAGCATTACAATAGCACAAAGTTGGACTAGAAGACAGCCAATATTTACTCTGTTTTACAAATATTTTAACCTTTGCCTAAGATAAACACAAGGGACTGTTTAAAACTAAAGTTCTTGCCAAGGACAGATGCAACCAACTGAAGGGAATATTTTTACCAGACCTAAGCAAATGGAGAAAATGAAGAGATTAATGTTTATGTAAAGTACTATTTAAAAAAAAAAAACCAAACAACACATTTCTAATTACTCTTTTATTTTATAATTCAGAGGCTGAGCAATTATATTTTTAGCTATATCCTTTAAGTTAGTAGCTGCTGAACTGGTAGCATCATATGTATAGATTTTTATTGTACCATAATTTTTCATATGTATAAAACTCTAGATAGGAAAGTATATTATATTTATATAGTTACATGCAAATCAAGATGTCAAACGTGTTGGCCTGAGCACTCTCAATCTATATTTTCTGCACAAAATTAGAGCAACTTATTCTAAAAACATCCTGAAAAACTATGTAGGCTGGCGAACTTCACAGACATTAAAATGTTTAGTTACATTTTCATGTTTCTTTCTGCAACACATTGTATGTTTCCTGCTTGCTTCCCACAGCATTGTCCTCAGTGCATACGTATGGAAGCAAATCCATGTTAGATATCTCACTGTTGCCATTGTAAACCTCAGCTTAGAGACAATGTATCACAAAATGGTTCTAAAAACTGTTTCTATTTTTCTGCATATGATACAAATTCAAATAAAATGCTCAGGAAAGAAATTTTCCAATAAATGTTTTTCTTAACTTTTTTATGTCTTGAGATTGGAAGCAACTAATACGAAGTCTTTCAATATTGGAGAATATTTTGAGGTTGGCAAAAGGACTGATGTAAGTACCACAAAATCAAATAGCTTAAATTTACTAATATGCTGAATAACCCATCTGTTGTGAAGATACCGGATTTCCAAATCTTTTTTATGTCTCACAGGCTTTGCTGGAATACTTGATTATGTTGATACAGCTAGACTGCCTTCCTTGTTTGGCTGCTAAACTTTACAAAGGTCTGACTTCAGCACTGATTTAACTTCAAGGTATTTTGAAGTGTGTGCAAGAGCTAGGCTTATTAAGGGTGCCGTGACTCACAGAGATAATTTCCTTTACTGAATCAAAGCAGCTAAAACTGTGAAATCCTGTTCCACATGTTATTTTTCCATCTATGTGGTGGCTATATAAACACTTAATGAACAAAGAGAATATGCCTCCTGATTTGGTTTGGAAGCTGAGGATAAAAAGAGAAAACATCTATAATTAAGAAAAAGTCAAAGTGGACCCTTATGGCATTTACATTCTGGGGGGGACTGTGGCTGTATCAGTATGATGCAAGCGTGTAGTGCATGGATCTACTATCAGAGCCTGTCTGTAGACTCTGCCACTGCCTCACTAGTGGTAGTGTTTTGTTGGCAGTGTGGGGCACCATGGTGGTGGTACACACATCCCTGTATATCAGAGCCTGTCTGTAGACTGCCACTGCCTCACTAGTGGTAGTGTTTTGTTGGCAGTGTGGGGCACCATGGTGGTGTAGTACAACATGCCTGCTATAGCAACCTGTGCTTGTCACTGGGCCAGCACGTCTGGATTTGGACTTGAATCTCAGAGAGCTTCATTTCAATGGGCCAGATCACACTGTTATGCTGTATAATCTGCAAACATGCTCAATTTTAAACAAGCAAGTGATCCCACTGCATTCGAAGTTATGTATATGGGTGTTCGAGGTTGATGGCTCTAAAAGTGCTCAGTCTATATTGAATCAGACTATATTCAAACCCAGAATGTCAAGGGGCTCCAAAATTATGTCCACGGAAGTAGAAGAACATGTTTGAATTTTAAGCACAGGTACAACCCCTGTAAAACCAACCCAGTTCCTTGAAAGGGTTGCCATAGTTTGAGATTACGGGAGTCCCAAGACAGGTTTCAAAAGGAGTTAGAATCAGATTGCAAGCAAGTTCAAACTGAATTTTAAAGAAGCACACATTTGTTTTTCCAGTAAATGGTTGAACCTTTTGTTTCATGTAAGCTGAGGCCAACACTTGAGACAAAGACGAATGAGAATGTTGTACAGAAACATGCAAATAAACACACATTCTAAAATCCCCCTCAAACTCTTATTTGGTTGTGACTTAAAATGAAGCAAAACTTGAGAAAAGGTTATGTACTAACCTTCCTTTTATAATTTTGTTTCTGCTTTTTTACATTATAGTTGTTGCACCAGTAGTTAAACTGACTTAATGAATGGAGTCACCCTTTGAAAAATATTTTGTATTTTCTATATCCTGTTGAGCAAAAGAAGATGCAGTGAAATTTTGATTACTGACAACAGCTCATGAATATCTTTGCAAAGTAGATTCATATATTTAGGACATACGCACGCTGACATACCCTGGATGGGACGTACCCACAGAACTGGCTTGACTAAATCTCTTAAAGAAACTGCTAGGTTAATATGATTCTACTAAAGATCTGTTAGCAAACTATTCAGTAATGATAATGTAAATTCAAGCCTGGTGAGAAGCCCCAAAAGCAAACAGACTGTCAAAGAAAGCTCCCAGAGGAGCACTGGTGACATTTCTGTACTTTTCCAGTGACTCATCTGTTTTTAGAAGTTAAAAAGAGTTGTGAGCAACTTTAATCACAAAGCTCAAGACTGTATGAAAATCCCATGCTCACTACCTTGGTATCAGTAGCTCAGCATTCAGCTGCCCTTTACTGT